GTGCGTGCGCGTGCGTGCGTGCGTGTCCACGGCCTCCCTCCCCTTTCTCTCTGCTCAGTCGGTTCAGCAGGGAATGTGACTCCAGTTCCAGGAATAGCTGCCAGTCTGGACCCTGGAAACTCAGACGACAGAAATAGACGCTTACTTCCACTGCAGCGCACTCATTGCCTAGCAACAGGCTCCCCACACACTCGCCCCAAACCATTTCTGAAGGCGCCTCCTTCGTTTGCTGCTGTCCCTGCTCTCCTCCTTTCCTTCCTCTCTTCTTGTTTCTCCTCTGAGCCTCCCCTCAAATGTCCTTTTTGTTCTCTTTGGCGACTCTGACCTCTCCTCCTCCTCTTCCTCCTCCTTCTTCTCCTGCTGGTTTATCAATGGATAATGGCACCTGACGTTTTTCAGCTGTAGCACCTGCTCAGCTCAAGCCGACAGTCTCTCTCTCTGGCACTTACTACACACCTCCGTCAGCCTCACGTGCTGCCAGCTACTTCCCATGAAAGCCTCTCCATTCAGCATTTCCTGCAGTGTTGTTATATTGATAGCACACACTGTGTCTATTCTTTTTGTTTCTAAAAGTTAGTAAAAGTAAAGCGAGATCATGTAGCATTCTAATGCATCGTTATGGTGGTTAGTTAGTTACTGCCACAAAACAATCCAACTGTTTGGTCTGAATTCATAAGAATGTAAAATACAGCAGAAAGGTGGTACATTTCCAAAGTTTTTGATCATTTGAAGTGATTCCACCTGTGTCCTTAAATTCTCATGCTAATAATTTATTGATGTATAAGTGCTACATGTAACAACTTTACAAGCCATATTGAGCCAGTGGTGATTTTAAATTTAAGATGAGTTCTGGGAGAATGCTTTAGTATTCTGACAGAGTAAATTTTGCATTTCCTTGTTGTACTATTCTATTATGTCTCCATCTTACCCCTTGTTGCCCCAAATGTTCTTAATCTGTTGGCAGTGGGTCACAGTTTTGTCATCTGCACAACTCTTCTGTGATCTGCTTCCCACTCGTATGTCCTCTTCCTGATGACTTCCACTTAAGCCACCTCTTCTTTTCGTGTGCTTGCATCTCTCTACTTTCTCAGTAACACTTGAAAATCTTATTTCTATGAGGGAAAACACTCGTCCTTCTTCTGCTTTGTCCAAGCTGTCTGGAAAAGTCTGATCTTGCTCTTATGCTCTTAGGATTTAAAACTGCGTTCCCATCAAAGTGCACAAGTTTTGACTGAGAAGTTCTCTTATGTACTTTGTACCAGTACATTCACTTTTTGTCATTGGTTACTTCATCTTTTTCCCCCCTTCTTCTACCATCCATCCATCCGTCCATTCGTCAATTAATCATCCATTCATCATTCGCCTGAGGACAGAAACGCAAGTCCAGCTCTACTGTCCAGTATATGGTGAGCATGCTATTTATGCATTTGCCCAGTCACTCATTTTTGTTGCTACCTCTCTCCACTTCTCTACTCCTTCCTCCACTTCTTTCTTTTGTCCACATTTCCCTGTCTTTACCTAATCTGTGACACACTGGTGCCCAATTCCTGACAATTTTCTTATTCAAACAGCAGTCAGGTGTCACGCTGGCATTTCCTGGGAATAATACAAATAATTACAGCAGCCCCTTGTAAGGAATAACACAAACTGAGAAGTTAACTTAAGCAGCAACAACAACATTTACAGAAAGTCAAACCTCAGTGCCAGGCAGAAGTCACAGCTTTGGGCCTTGCACAGTGCACTGCGATAAGACCAACCCTGACATTATTCTGAGAACGTAATAGAAGCAGGATGTTTTAGTTCCATCAGTTACTCCAGGGATGCTGCTCCAGTTCTGTCAGGGGCACACTTTTAGAAATAGAAGCAGCGCTTGTGCTTGTAGTTTTGATATGGAACTCTTCTGTCTGCATTGCACATTCTTTGAACAACAAGTAGGAATAAAAGTATGGGTAGGTGGGGGCAGACTTGCTCCTGGGACAACCTCTTAGCACTGACTACAACATGTGACACAAATTCAGGTAAGTGAATTGGAAGGGAATTTGACCCCTCCTTCCCGCCCTGAGGCACCTATTTCCTCTGACCTGACCCTTTTTTCCACACACCCATAATCCCGTCTGCATCTCCTCCTCCTTTGTTCTCCCTGTGCACTACTTTTTTTCCACCTGAAGGAACCACCTGTGTACTTTTACCCACTTTCTCCTTCTCTGTTCTTGGTAACATCATTAAAAGATATTCATTGTGAAGATTTTTGATCTGTACTCTGCATATATTCTCTGATGTGCATCCTCATGGTTTTGCTTTCAAATATGACGAAATGTATGGCTTTGGATGGCAACAGTTGTCTCCACTTGCAAAGCTTTGGACAAGACTTCTGTCAGCATTGCAGTTTTTTTCACTGCCATCCAGGACTACAAGGGGCTTTCTCCTCACAGACATTCATGACGCAAATGCTGAGACTCTGGGTTAATACTGCAAACAAGACATCTCACCCTCTAATCGTTACTTTGATCAGGGTTGCTCGGCAGAGGCAGTGGGGTAATGACTGACGATGGCGGTTGTGGTTGAGTGTAATGTGTGTAATGTGTGCATGAGTGTGGGTGTTTGTTTGGTCACGGGTATGTGTGACTTCACTGTGTGTGTATTTCAAATGTCTATATGTCAGCTTATTGTCAGCTATCAACAGCTTTTTTTTATGGCTGTTTTGTGTGTGTCTGCATTGTGTTGTGTGTTTGCACTTGTGTGTGCTGACGTATATCCTCTCCTCTCCTCTCCTCTACACTCCTCTCCTCTCCTCTCCTCTCCTCTTTTGAGTAAGCCCAGTGGCTTACAGGATATTATTTTATATTTATTAGAATAGTTAACACACATACCCACAGACACACACACACACCCTACTTTACTTTCTTTCCATCGTGCAAGTCACAGGACTGCTTTGAAAGTAAATGATCTTATTCATTTAATATTGTGCTCTTTCTTAAGATCTTCCTTTTTTAAATGTAGGTAGAAACGCCTGTGACATGAGAGAATAATGCTAGCTTGATTAGAATTAGAGAATATTCACACAATATGAAGGCTTAATGGGGCCTTAAGTAATCCATGATTTCTCTCAACCTCTATCACTGACTAGTTGGAATTGCTTAGATGTAACATGATTAAGATTTATGTAATGGTAGCTTTTTAGAGTGAGTCACTTTGGTGATTCGCTTCCACACGCAGGAGCCCCATTTTGCAATTTCAAGTTAATATATTTCCACACAAGATTACAAGTAATGTAATGTAGATTCAATGCAAATATCATTATGATTGAACAGAACTATAAAGCACTGGCCGCTCTTTGATGTGTGGTCTTCAAAGGATCATTTGATCGTGGCTTATGAAGGTGATTTATTACAGCCAAATGGCATGGTTGAATTGTTACGATGTGGACAGCAGAAGTTGCCAGTGACAACATGATGATGTCACACAATGTCACTCGCACACCTCATGTCACCTCACAGAATTACAAATCACAAATGTGAATTAATGTTTTAGGTAAATCTTTCGTCATTGCTGCTGCTGGACTCCACTTTTATCTTACTATGCTTTTGGGGACCTTCAATTACAGCTTAACCACAAATTTCCTCCTGTTAATTTGACACTTTCCATTACGGACTTAAAAGTTTAACCATGTTCTCACAAGGTTAGGAGAGCAAGGACACAAACTTGCATACAAGCGCACACATACAGATGCATGGACACGCTCGTACACCCACCTTTTTGCTGTTGTTAACACTCTTGTTGTGTCTCATCCCTTTCCTCTCCTTTCCTGCACAGCCCCAGACAAACAGCACCAAAAACAGCATAGTCACCAGCCCCAAAGGAAACATCCCTTCACCTGCTCTGGTATTTACCTCCTAAGCCCCCCCTTCCACTGTGTGTCTGTCTGTCTATTACACCGCCCGTCTCTCCCTTAAAAACCCTACCTTCACCCTACCCTACTTCCCTAATACTTCAACTTTGTCTGTTCTTCCTCTGTGTCTGTCTTGTGGATTGTGGTTGATCTTTGCCTAGCTGCTGAGATGGCCACAGCAGTTGGAAAGGTCTTAAACCAGCAGGTGGTGTCAGGAAACATTGCCCCATGGAAGGTGGGGATGCTATGTGACTTACAATCTGGTTGATATTGTGCTGCCATGTCATTTTCTCTGTCAGTGAACGTTTGCCAAAGAGGAACAGACAGCCAATGCCTGCCGGGGCTGTCAGTGCAATTTACCCCCTCCTTCCTATTTATGCCTCTGTAGAGGAGCAGTTTCCCGCCGTGTGAGCATCAAAGTCCAAAGGTTTGCAGATTGTCCTTCCAGCCAAATAGCACACCAGCTGATTTAATAGAGTAATTCCTCCTCTTTTGTATATAGGTGTGAAAATCAGTTAAATTGGCTGATTGGCTGGAACTAAAACCTGCATGCTCTGGGACTTCTGGCTCACAAACAACTTTTATACTTTTACTTGGCATCAGGCCTCCGTGGGAGATCTGAGAGAAGTTATTTGTGTTCATTAAGTGCTTCTCTTTTTGATTTGTGTGGACATGGTTTCTATTACATATTTCAGTGGTTGGGTGGTTGAGTTGTAGACAGGGGAACTGCTGCAGCAAGTTCCATTTTCCATCATTTTCAATGATTAAAAGATTTTATTTGTGAATCTGTATCCCCCAACAATACACCTTTTGGATAAATAAGCCCAAAAATATCTCAACAAATATTTAAGTTTTACATCAATATTTTTAATTGTCCTACCTCTCAGCAGCTATTTTCAGTCTCTGCTGTATAAAAAACTATAGTCTATAGACATCAGGGGATAACTGTAGTTATCAGACATCAGTGACATTTTGTCAACATTAGCATTTTTTTTTCTACACACTGCACCTCATGTTATTATAATGAACCAAATTGCTCTCAGAAAAGTCTTTCCTTTAAAAAAAATCTTAACCCAAAAACACTGCTGATCCCCTCCATGCTGCGTATGGTTTACTGTCGTCATCATTTATCAGTTGGAGTTGATAAAACCAATCAAAACTTCCATCCTTGCTGTGTTCTTCATGACTAAAGCTATCTATAGTGTTGTGTGAATGATCTTCTTACAGGAGGTGACAGCTTCATGGCATGTGGTATTTTCTTTTTTGCCAAACTACCTTTCACAGCTACTCCAGGCTGCTCTCTATCATTTTCAGTAAATACTAAATTAGATGAACATTTTAATGTTGTCAGCTTGCATTTGTTTTCTGATACCATCATGGTACTACTGTAGAAGAATGCGGAAATATAATTAAAGGCTTTACAGACAGGAAAAACTTGTCCTGAACCATTCTGTAAACATTTGGACATTAATCATGCATCACATCATTTTAGTTGTTTTCCAGCAGTGAGGCACATTTGCAAGTATGTGAGAGCGTAATGTTTCTGACACTATTTTCTACTGCACATTATTTAGCCAGAATAGCTGTATTATATCATGGCCTTTATATGCCCAGGCCAGTTGCCCAATCATAAGTCACTGGCAACTGAGTCCTAGATGCCACACAAATGATCTCACCAACTGTAACACAGCTGAGAACTTGGGCAAGTTTGGGTTTGCTGTTTGGAACTGCTGCATACTAAATATAGCTTTATCACACTGGCTATACAAAGCCCTATCTAATCATGTAATCATAATGGGTAATTTCTAGGCTGTTGGTCAGTGGTTACCCTGTTGATGGTAAAGCCTTGCTTCAGCTTGACACAGTGATAGAAACTAGCCACTTTCTTTAATTCCTTTTGTCAGAGAAGGCAAAATGCCAAGCACAGTCAGACACACCGATGGAGCAACAGGTGCAGCCATATGAGCATATTTTCTGTGCGTTCATGCATGTGATTTTAGCTGAAGCCTTAGTCCATTCTGCACATGTGCAGACATGTTATTGGAAGTGCTTAGAGGAAGTTTACGTTCATGTGCTTAAAAGTGAGAATGGAAGTGTGGGCACAACCATGGAGCAGAACTTAGGTTTTAGTTTTTCTGATCCTTGAAGGGCATAGTGAGTGGGAGGGCGCCTGTGATCTCCATGCTGTTGCTAGGGACTTGAGCAAGTTACTGTTTAGCCATATTAACTCCTTCATTACAGAGCTGGCAGGCCATTGAGAGACACTTCATGCCTTCACTTACATGACCCTAATTTTCTGACTTGGAAGCATTTAAGTAGGGTGATGGGAATCTTAAATGTGCACATGTACTTAAATATATATGTCACTTGGCTCTATTTATATCTAGACCATCTAAATGAAATGTTTTAACTTACCTGCACTACGAGAACATCCCAGTAAGAGCAGCAGTGTTCATGTAAGGCCAGCGGTGATGTGTAATGGCCAAACCCTTCCCCATCTGATGATGTGACGCTTACAGCCCCTCCTTTGAATCTGCAAACCCCAGGTACTTTGTTCTCACTCATCATCATCATCTCCCAAGTTGCCACTGGTGCTTGTTGCCCTGGGCGACGGTTGCCCTGACAACACCGCCATCATCACCAGGGAGAAAGCTGATGATTGGTCATCACAGAGGTGTCACTTCCTGGGGGGGCTGGAGGGCGGGCGAGAGAATATGGGGGGGGGGGTTCTGATTTACTGTACCATCAAAAGACGGTTCTTAGCAGAC